GGTAATTACTTTAATAATCAATAAACAGTTTGGTCTACTCGATTCCTTTTCATAATAGTGGCAGAGTTTTAAAATAAACTCGTATAAACATATCTGCATATTGGAAGATGCTCTCCGAAATACGACTATTTTTCTTCATTTCAAACGGTTTATTAATGTTTTATGTAAATAATTGTAAAGGCCCATCATTCATTCATTGAGAACTAACGTTTTTTCCAAACGAATTAATGTATTGTTTGAAAAAATAAGAAAAACTTAAATATTTGGTCAGGGGTTACAAATTACAATTAGATAGCTTATTTACTATTAGAAATTAATGGGAAACTGTTAGAAAAATATTATAGTACAAGTCACAATCATTTCAATAGTTGACGAGGTACACAATGTGTTATTAGTAAAGTCATATTAGATTTGTTTGTACAGTTATAAATAACATCCATTATTTAAGTAGCATACTAATCGATATTAATTCCCCGATACTACGTTCGAGATTGATAAAAATAATAACTATAGTATTAATTATATTATCGATTCATTTCAGACAGAAGCTTTTCGGGGAGTTCTTACAATTTATCTAGATATTTTACAATTTGCGTCGGTTTTCACGTCGACATAAAAGAACGTCGATCTGGGTGTACTTCCATATTCCAAGAAAGTAATCGTCCATGAAGACAGCGATGGTTATACGCTCGATTTAACACATAATCGTCTAAGTTCGCAAATGTCAGCTATACTGGGTTTAAGACATTACTGAGACACCTCATAAATAGGTATTATGGGCGGGAAAAATGTCCATTAAAATTAAGTATGTACTTAACATTCTATGTATCATCATAGTGATATATCAAAAAATCACCCCTGTGCCTTTGATAGACTTGAAAACAACTCAACAGCGTGGGTCTCACGTATCCCTCAAGGGGCTATACCTGGACCTCTTCTATTTGTTGTCCTTATTAATGATACTGCATAGGATTGAGGTGTATCAGTTATTCGCTAATGATACAAATATATTTGTCACATTAACTCTGTCTTGGACTGTGACATCTTGTCTCACTTAGTAACTAGTACAACAAAACAAGTTATCTTTTATGTCTTTTTATTGGAAAAAATTAAATGTTAACGTTTCCGAGACCTGAACTTGAATACGGCTTAATATGGAATCTAATTTATATTACACATACCTTGTTAGAAAACTGTTTTAATCTGTTATACTTCCGCAGGATGAGGTTTAACCTATTTCACAAGATATTCCACGTATTTGTATGCATTTTGATATCACTTTTTATGCTACAACTTATTCTTTATGTGGGTTTTACGCCCGCTGGATATTTTAACAAACAATGCGACTCTTCAAAGAATCCAACATTTGTCTCAAAAATCAGTACTTTTCCTAACAATACTATATTTATCAATGACGAGTTTTTCAATATATTGGCACAACATCCAGCAGTGTAAACCAGCCTGAGAACATTTAGCAGACATCAATTTGTACACGAATATATAAAAATTCTGTTAGTTTATTCTCCTCCCATTAATGTTCTACGTGGGTCCGAGCAAAAGGTGGTACGAAAACAAACAGAGGATTCTAATTTTGCACCGCGCCGCTACCAAACTAGTTCCTTCTCCGTTTTAAGAACTCGTTTCTTAAAAACGAGAATTAAAAAAATGTATATCGAGATATTCCTCTGAGCATTTACGGCCGTTACAGGTAAACAAGTTTTTATGAATGCTTCCTATAACTATAAATTGAATGTAGATATAGTGAATTAATTAGAATTGTTTGTTGCTTCGCAAGTTTCTCGAATAAAATATTATTTTGGAAAAATAAGGCAGTCGGATGGTGCCACCCACCGGATATTTTTTTTATAAAACCATAATACTTATCTTAGCTTGCAAGTCCTGATTTAAATCTGCTGATTAAAATCGGACCAGCAGTGATTGAACTGATGTGATTTTAAATAGGAACAATAATATTATTACAAAATGATCTATACCATCCAAATAACAGTTATGAAGATATATTTGCAACAATTATATCAAGATGCAATACCAAGAACAAAAATTTATGGGAAAAACCTAAAACGACCGTAAGAATTCTGTAATCTTTTATTTTACGCAGAAACTGATAGGAATCTATAAATTGAAATAGCGATTAAAGGCAAGCTAGGATAAATTGGATTTTGGTTGCATGCGCAACTGTAAAATGATGAATATTAATTGTTTCATTTAAATAAACAAATTACCGGTTTTTTTATGTAAAATAATTTTAAATAAATCAAAGAGCAAAATGAGAAATTCAAATAAGTTGGAATGTGAATTAGCATTTTATACAGGGTCACTCTCTCACGGATAACTTGTATAGGTCTCTAGAAACAAAAATTTTCAGTCACGTTTGAACAAAAACATATTTGTGGAATTGGCCTTGACTAATGTTATAAGTTCTTAATATTTATAGTCTAAAAGTTATAGAGGAGAAATGGGAACCTAGTAGTCTATAAAAGTTACAAGAAAACTGAAAATATTTGCGCGTAATTTTACCTCTTCTCCGAGATTTCTATCACCCTGTATAATGCTCGATTATCAAATATGCTCGGACATCAAAACCGACCTTTATAAAGTTTTCTCTTTTGTTTGTTTTTGTTTATTTTAATACAACCTGAGACTATTATACAGTGTATTTAAATAAAGAAGCACATAGTTGAAAATCTTGAGGCCAAAATATGATATACAGAGTGTTTCAGGGGGTGATAGTACGACAGAAAATAAGAATTTTTTGTCTAATGTTCATAAGATTTTTTTGTCTTCGAACTATATGTCTATCTTCTCTTGTTTTCGAGATACAGAGCTACAAAATAAAATTTTTTAAATATAACTTCTACGAAAATTTCCAAACGGTGCGAAATATTTTTATGAAATTTGGTATTCCAAGGTTTTTATATTTTATAGAGCTCGCTAATTATGCTACATTCGTATTACATTTTAAGTTCTAATTTTTTTGAGGTTAGATTTTTTAGCATTCAGGCTCCAATTTCTAATGTACAACTTTATTTTCTAAAAATAATGTACTCTTGTTAGAACTTCCTAATATTACGATGTAGAAAATAAGTGACTTTTCTCAAATTAGGCTTATGTCAAAACTTATTGATGGATGTCTCATAAACAACGCATACATTCAAAGTAATATTTTAAACTCTAATTAACTTTATATCAAAATTTTAGTGATTGTTAGTAATGACTAATTACAGTCTCTAAAATTTTGATATAAAGTTAATTAGAGTTTAAAATATTACTAAGAATGTATGCGTTGTTTATGAGACATCCATCAATAAGTTTTGACATAAGCCTACTTTGAGAAGTCACTTATTTTCTTCACCGCAAGAGTTCAATTAAAAGCCTTTTTTCTCGAAAACCGTCCATATTAGAAAGTTCTAACAAGAGTACATTATTTTTAGAAAATAAAATTGTACATTAGAAATTGGAGCCCGAATGGTAAAAAACCTAACCTTAAAAAAATTTGAAACTAAAATGTAATAGGAATGTAGTGTATCTAGCGCCTCCTATGAAATATCCAAAAAAAAAAATTAGACCAGCGTATTTGGCGTTCTTAAAAAACCCGGAACACCAAATTTTATAAAAATATTTCGCATCGTTTGGAAATCTTCGTAAAAATTCTATTTAAAAAATATTATTTTGTCGCTCTTTGTCTCGAAAACATGAGGAGATAGACATATAGTTCGTAAGACAAAAAATTATAATTTTTTGTCGTACTTTCACCCCGTGTATTTACGGGAGGTCTTTTTGAAACACCCTGGGCCAAATATACCATAGTCCAAAGTTCAATGTTCATTGATTTAAAAAACATTTCTATTATCTCTATGGGTTACATAGAATTATAAATAACTAGTAACAAATAATTACACGAAATAAATTCCAAAAATGATATATGTCTATGTCTAAATATAATTAATACAAAACTTGATATATTGAATTTGTTCAATAATGCAATCGCTCAAAGAAATATCCTGTATCCCTCTGTCCTATTATCACCATTGACAAGGACTTATCACTAACAGTTACTAATAGAAGTAATTGTGTTCCACATTTGATATTTATAATTCCATACAAGAAGGGGAGTTGTTTGATGAAACAATCCCAAGTAAAATGTGGAAACTTAGGGATATTTTTGTAGCAGCTGTCTTTGTCAATGGTGATAATAGGACAGGAAGAATACAGGATATTTCTGTGCATGATTGTATTATTTGACGATTTTAATAATCATGTATTTGTTTTTGTATTTATTTGGACATGCCATTTTTAGTTTTTATTTTGAACAATTACTTATTACTAGTTTATAATTCAATGCTAGATAGGGCATGCAGCCCCATTCCGTAAAAGTTTCTGTAAAAGAAGACTATTTGATTCCCAATTGTATTTCAAAGAAAAAATATCCCCATTTTATTAGTAAAACGAGTAATTTTCGAGTATTTTTTTAGTCTAAAATGAACTTACTACACATTTGAATAAATAGAAACTACTGATTAAAGAAATTATGTTCTTTTTTGAAAATCGATAACAAAAAAACATGGGAGTAGCAATTCAAATTTTCTGAGGGGTATAAAGACCAATTTTACGCCACTGAATTTTCTAGTCTTTCGAAAATGATTTGCTTTTCGATTAAAATGGAAAAGGCCTTTTTTTTCTAAATGTCGTTACGAATCCAAGTATCTCCGTCGCTGGTTGATGTAATAGTATGCAAATTTAGCGAATCTTCACCTTTATTTAGTCAAGTCGCCACCTCGACTTTTTTTTAATTAAATTCAAATATTTTTTCCAGATATTCGCGTTTGTGTGACTTGCAAATGAAGCAACTACGGTACCTTATCAAGGTACCATTTGCGCTCCCTCATTTACATAAATACACCTTACACTAACATAAACTTATCTTACTCTGAACCCACGCGAGGGCCCCGAATTCAAACGAAAAGAAATCAGAGAGTTACCCTGGACAACCGAGGACCTCTAGGACTCCCGGAGCAAGCGATCCCTCGAAGACGACCCAAAACAACAACAGTCCCTTCTTCCTCCTCAACGGGAACCCATCACACTGTCACACACACAGCCGGAAGTCAGTCTCCTGTTATCGCAACACTCTCTTGATACCTCCCAGCACCACTGACCCAAGCTTCGCACTCAAACGGTCACCAGCAGCGGCATAGGCAGCATTGCAGTCGTGGACATGGAGCGGCGCCACACTGGGCTTCCTGGGGCGCGGGAGAACTCTGCTTCGCTGACGCTATCCTGCGACTGGTCGGTGAGCGCTGACGAGATCAATATCGGCGGGCGGGCTCGAATGCGCCGCGGCAGAGGGCGGCGCACCTGGACGCAGAACGGGACGCGACCGGGCAGGTGCCGGCCGCCGAGAGTCCCAGCAGGATAGCAGGAGCGGCGGGCGTCGCAGGAAGGGTCGCCGTACGTTCCGCCGCTCGGGAAGAGCCCAGGATTCGGGTGCGGGGGCCATTTGGATTTGTTATTCGACTGAATAAGATCGGAAGACTTCCTTGATATATTTGGCACCGGTTTTGTGTAAAAATAATTTTTTTTTCGGTCCCATTTCGCATATTTTCATTCATATTCAGAAAGTACACATCGCGGTTAGTCGATGTGCGAAAAATCAGATTGGTTTTCAATCTTTTCTCTCTCAAAATGATTAATGAAGACGGAATCCATGTTGTGACGTCATACCGTTCGTTTGTGACTAGCCAATATACGTCATGTCGTAACTGACGTAACTGAATGTTGTCAATATTGTTAGGATTCGGTGGGGTGTCATTTGTATTTGTTAATCGACGGAAAAACGAGTTCCACAGCTTCCTGCTACCCCAGGTCGATTTTTAATACCCGCTTTCGAGTTTTTGAGCTAGTCCAACACATTTACGTCCTCTCCAAAAGTCTTTCATGAAGATCTCCTTAAATCATTCCTTGAATATTCCTCAATACCGCACCTAATATTTATTTAGCCATCCAAAATTATCAGTTACAAGCAATTTTTTAAACATAAATTGTTAAACAAATATAGCTTTGATTTACATTTACGTGTTGATTTGATGGTGGTGATATGAAAGGTACCGAAAAATTGTTAACAGAACAACTCGAGCAATGTTGTTCGATACCAAACCCATGGACTCCTAAACGTTGATATTGCGGGAAACTACTGTATGGGCTATCGAATTACATCGCAATTATTACAAAAACACATACCTATGTCGATCGAACAATTCATCCACATATTATCTACCCAAAAATCCGCTATTTATGTTAATTTAACGCTTGTGGACAAACGACAGGAACTAATGAAAACAAAAAAATCTAAAACAGGGGTCTGATCCAATTAAAAGCTTTTCGTGTAATGTTTATGTTACAGGTAACATTCTGTTGGTTAATGTAATACTTAATTAACACAAACACTGTTCTCAAATGCTCACATTTGATATCGATCGTAACACTTCAAGTTTCGTAAACTAAAAGCCCACTTGCAGCACTACATAAATATGGTACGTAATAATAACACATTGTATATACGTTTATTGAATTTTTTGAACGTTCGCTACAATACGGAGCCATAAAATAATTAATGACTGATGAATAAATATTTATAAAACGAAAATCGAAATAAATGTAATAGATTTAAAATACGAGTAGTATACATTAGTTCATATGAAGTAACACAGAAAATTAACAATGATTTTTAACTTTAAATTGTTCCTCTAGCACAAAGGTTCATATTCGCAAAGCACACTCTCCAAATCTAAGTCAAATATGCAAAAAATAAATATTAATTCAAATCAGATTCAGATCTCGATAAAATCATGTCACAAATCGATCTCCACCTGAATAATGAATAACTTAACTATTTAAATAGGTTACTGACCGCCTTCTCAATTTTGCATCTGTGCCACTCTAAGGCCAGCCATACACTTAGGTGGCAAGCGCGCGTGTAAAAGTTGCGTCTAAATGCAAATTAAGTAGAGATGGGTTGCGGAATAACACAACGAGGCTTATCGCTCTGGTAATTTATTTTCTCATGTAGAATAAACAAAAAAAAAGATTGAAAAATTTTGTTTAATTACTCGTAGTTACTCTATTATAACTTTGTTGCCTACCTGTCATGTATAATTTATTTTGGCTCATAACCAACAAATAAAATTAAATTAACTATTTTATATCAAAGGATTATGTTAACTCTCCCTCAAAATGTATAGAATACATCTGTATCTATCATACTATGCCAGTTGTGCTACTAGGTCAACAGAGTCACCGCTAGATGTCACCGGTTACATAATATCTCACCGACAGTAGCTTGACGGAGATAATACAAGACCCGAAATTAAAATACTGGTACATATTGCTCATGGCACTCCTATACAACAATAATGCGTGGCAAAACAGCACCGCTTTTAATCAAAACCCACCCCATTCTCTTCCTGCATGGAAGGGATATGCCCAAAGGAGCTAATGGATGGGAATTATCATGGCCTATTAGAATCCGCAGTTCCCCCGTCCCAAGAGGAACATTCGCCGAGCCAACGGAGCGTGATATAACCGGCATAATTCCACGTGAGTTTGAGGGAAATTTGCGTTTCGTGTTATTTCGCCGGCGTGAATTATATATCGCACGTCCTTCGAAAATGTTTGTGTAATTAAGATGATTTTTCCATGCAAATAGACCGCCCGCCAAAAACAATAAAAGGGAGGATCATTCCAGCAGAATTTACATTTACAGAAAGATTGTTATACTAGCAACTACTAGGTGGTTCACAATTTATATTAAAATGAATCTGTATGACAAAAAATGTTATAATACAGGTAGTTATATTAGTATTACTGTGGTTTTCATACTGCTTTTATTATCGTGGTTTATTGTCTACATTAGTTTTTACGAATCTTCAAAAATTACAATAAAATTGCTGTGGCAAACCTGACTTATTCACGATTGCACTAAAAAAATGGAACATTGGACTTGAAAGAAACTATGGAACTAACAATAGGGGCGGTTTGCCCATATGCAAACAATGTTTAAATATTCAGAGATTTGTCTGTGAGAGGGGCAAGTATATTATTATTCTGTACGAGATGTCTACGATGAGCGAGTTGAACATAAAACTTTTAAAAAATCCCGGAGCTAATCGTTCTTTATGAAGGCTTTATGTACCTAAATCCAAAGAAAAACATCAATTTATCACTCAGCGTGTTGAAATAATGGCCTAAATATCTGTCCCCTAACGACGAAAATGAATCTGCTGCGTTGCCGCAAATTTTGTCGAGTCCCCACAACCTTAGCGAACCATTTAATCATCTAGGTATCAAATCAAATCTAGCCATCTCCCTCTTTCTGAGTTAGCACGCCCCGTCAAGGGCGATTAGTATGAGAAAACATTTGTTATTCTCGATGTAGCGATATGACGTGGTAATACAGGGATTAAGGCAGGATTCAGGATTGTGTGGTTGGATTAGCAAACGGCTGACGAATCGTTACATGTCGTAGTTTCCAATCAAATAACAGGGGTGTAACATTAAGCGCAGTTTTTTCGGGTTAATTGTTTTATAATTCATCTTAATTCTCATCTTGTAGTCGTCACAACAATTTCGCGGAGCTGGTCTACCAGCCGGTCCATTGAAACGCAATAAATTAAAGTGAAAACAGAACGCCAGCGAGCTGATTCAGGCTGTGTTTATTCCGCTCGTCCGAGACGTTTCCAGCGAACCTATTAATCACAAGTCTGTTTTTCTTCCACACATCTCACTCCTGCAGTATTCCGTTACCAGGCTTCGCGTGCTTTCCCACGTCGTTTCAGTTAGTCAGCTGCTAGGAAAACAATGAATAATGCATGCATTAAAAACCAGATAACTGTAAAAGTGTCTGGACAGATACCAGAGCTTTTAGCGACGAATTTAATTGTTGATAAACATGAAATCATTTGTTTGTGGCAGGCACTACACGGAAAAGATAGTGGGGGAACAGAGTTTCATCTGTTTAGACGTCTAATTATAAAACGCAGTTGAATGGATAATGACAGATAAGGCAGCTGAGACTCAGTGAATCGTTCTGTAATTTTAGCCACCGAAAGACTGGTCAAATTTAGCCAGAAATGACAGTATAAGTAAAGGTGCGCATACATAGGTGACTACTGTGGTCTAAAATGTTGTGTTTTAGAAAATTATCAAGAATTATTACGCAAAACTTAGACCGACTCTGCATCGTCCCAATTAATCAATCGTTTACAATGTAGTAACCAAGTTCAGTGTGGTTTCTAACCCATAGCCCCCCCCCCAAATAAAAAGTTTTAAAGTAAACATTTCGATTGGCAAATCCAGACCGGTTTCAATATTTTCCGTTTCTCTTATTTGATATCTACTCTTTTCTCTTTAAAAGATGACGTTTTAGACACCAGGTAGTCTACGCCTTTGAAGAAATGCAGTTATTTCAGGTAACGTAAGGTCTCACAATTTCTTTTAGATCGGCAATACTGTTTCGTGTTCCTGCGATATCTCAACACCTCGTATATTCCTTAAACCAGTACCGACAACATCTGTCAGCTTAACACAAACACAACCAAGGTGAAGGTCATGGAATGAAGCAACACTCGAATTAATAAGCGAGTTTTTTAATATTTTTTTATCGCACACATCTCATTTAGATTAACATACACACTTGTGAATGACATTTAATTAAAGAGCAGGCGTCTATTCAACTAAAACGGTTTGTCTCCAACAAATCTGAGGCTGAGTTTATCTCTACATGTACTTGTGACATATTGACACACATCACCGAAATTTACATTGATGCTATTCCTATTTACTTTTGAATGAAGTGCCCGATACAAATATCAGCACAAGATAAGTTTCAATATGCAAATAAAGAAGGCAATTCAATGTATACAAAACATTTAAACCAAAAATGCAATTTAAAATCATCTCTATTTCTAGAAAATATCTCGGCACCCTTACGGGGAAACTAAAGCAACATTGTAGCACATTTCCGTTTATTGTCCATTAAAATAATAAGCTCTGGAGTTTTCTGCTGCATTCCCGACTACTCCCGGCGACGACTAACTGACCAATCGTTAAAGCCAATCACCCGAAACACACCTATACCGATCGCCTTTTGTCGGCGATGTCCATTTGTTTTCATGACGGCATCCCGATCGTCGCTATTTTCGTCCTTTCGTTATCGCCTCCACGCCCTGGTGATTCGCTGACGAGTCCGCAAGCCACTAGATGCGCCGTATCTGCTC